TTAAAATAAAGCAAAACAATTTTAAAAACAAGACACATTTGAGTGTATAAAACTTTATTTTTTTTCCAACAATGTACAAAAGATAATGTAAAGATATGAAAAATTGAAGACTTTTATGAACACATCAAAGTGATAAATGGAAATTTGATTCAATTTATGAGAAAATGGACCTGATCAGCAAATTTTAAAATGAGATGAAATGGGCAAAAATATCTTTAATGTATCCTGAGCTTAAATGTAACAAAAATGTCACCCATTTGTTTCCCATTGGATTATGGGTAAATAGATGGGAACAGGCATATACATAGTTAATAAGTAACAAATCGTTGATATAGTTGCATGTCTATTTCAACTTTAACACAATCTAAAGAGCTTATCAAGCCTGAATTTGAACACTTCACAAACATTTTAACCCTTTTGCTGCCAGAAGTACTTAAGTTATTATATAGAGGATATTTGTTTAGTTCAGTGTAAGATCGGAATATATTTCACCGAGTGAGCACCAAAAAGTATATTTCACGAGTGGCGCAGCCGCGAGTGAAATATGAACTTTTGGTGTTCACAAGGTGAAATATATTCCGATCTTACACTGAATTAAACAAATTTTCTTTTTATTATATGCAAAGAAACGTTTTAAAAAGACATTAAACCTAATACTGAATGAAAAGTGCGCCAAATAATAATACAACGTGACGTCATTTACGACGTCACGTCATTAAGTTGGTACCCAGTACTGTGCACGCTGGTATTTCACTGAAACAACGTAAGGGGTTTAAATTCAAAACAGTGAAATTATCAAAGTGGTAATTTCACTGTTTCAAACAGTGAAATTACCAGTTTTATATCACTGATATATTTCTATAAACCATCGAAAAGCATGTAATAAATAAGTATAATACATGTATTTTTCTGAGACATTTACGAAGAATTTCAGAAATTTATCATCAATGACATATGTAAATGTGTTCAACTTTGTATATAAAATATATAACCTATACTTTTATGGAAGAAAAATTAACAAAGTTAAGATAAAATGATTTTTCCAAACCTAAAAAATAACAGAAAAAAACAATAATACATCCAATAAGTAACTTTATATCCCATTAATACATGTTTGAAAATATATGATCCTGTAAATGAAATGGGTAAACATGATTTGCTTGTAGCTTAAGTGTTTATATTTCACGTTGTTACAACAGTAAATACTAAAATGCATAATGCACTATAATAAGTGATGAAAAAATGGCTACATGAAAGTTTTTGCATAACTACAATGATGACGAGATCATAAAAACTTGACATTTTCTTTGTATAACGACAAGCTTATAAGTGTTACAAATAATCCTCATTTCGTAATAAATCAAGGACATTCAATACGAAGATTACGCAGTCATTGTTAACTCTTCTCATTCAATGTTACATACAAATGAAAACTTAAACAAGTGGGCCATGATGGCCCTGAAATCGCACACCTGTATATATAAGGAAAATCAATGATTCCAGGGGCTGGGCCAATTTTAACCCCAGTGCCCTTAATTGAACAACAAGAGGGCCATGATGGCCCTGAGGTCGCTCACCTGTATATAGGCCCCCCAACCCCACCCCCCCCCCCCCAACGTTGCAGGGCCAATTTAACCCAAGGGATTTTATTTGCACAAACTTGGTAGACACCCATAAGAAGATGTTTCATGCTAAACATCTAAGCTCTAGCTCATTGGGCTTTTTAAAAAGAAGATTTTTTTAAAGTTTTTACTATACACATATAGTTAAAAACAATGACACCCCTGGGGCCGGGCCAGTTTTGACCCCAGGGCTTTTAATTGAACAAACTTTGTAGACACTTACTAGAAGATGTTTCATGCTTAATATCTAAACTCTAGCTATTTGGGTTTTTTCAAAGAAGATTTTTAAGTTTTTGCTATACACATATAAAGAAAATCAATGACCCCCGGGGCGGGCCAATTTTGACCCCAGGTCTTTTATTTGAACAAACTTTGTAGACACTCACTAAAAGATGGGTGTCTACCATTTTTAGCTCACCTGTCACAAAGTGAAAGGGTGAGCTTTTGTGATCGCTTTTCGTCCGGCGTCCGTCCGGCGTCCGTCCGTAAACTTTTACTTTAATTGACATCTCCTCATAAACCACTAAGCCAATTTCATCCAAACTTCACAGGAATGTTCCTTTGGTGGTCACCTTTAATAATTGTTCAAAGAATTTAATTCCATGCAGAACTCTGGTTGCCATGGCAACCGAAAGAAAAAACTTTAAATATCTTCTTGTAAAAAACCATAAGAGCTAGAGCTTAGATATTTAGCATGAAACATCTTCTAGTGAGTGTCTACCAAGTTTGTTCAAATAAAAGCCCTGGGGTCAAAATTGGCCACTTAAAAAATCTTCTTTTAAAGAACCCAAAGAGCTAGAGTTAAGATATTTAGCATGAAACATGTTCTAATGGGTGTCTACCAAGTTTGTACAAATAAAAGCCCTGGGGTCAAAATTGGCTCCGCCCCGGGGGGTCATTGATTTTCCCTATATGCATATAGTAAAAACTTAAAAAATCTTTTTTTAAAGAACTCAAAGAGTTTTACTATATACATAAAGGGAAAAATAATGACCCCCTGGGGTGGTGCCAATTTTGACCCCAGGGCTTTTATTTGAACAAACTTGGTAGACACACACTAGAAGATGTTTCATGCTTAATAGCTAAGCTCTAGCTATTTGTGTTTTTTAAAAGAAGATTTTTTAAGTTTTTACTCTATACAAATAAGGAAATCAATGACACCCCCGGGCGGGGCCAATTTTGACCCCAGGGCATTTATGTGAACAAACTTGGTAGACACTGACTTGATGATGTTTCATGTCAAATATTTAAGCTCTAGCTCTTACAGTTTTCTAAAAGAAGATATTTTAAGTTTTTTTCTTTCGGATGCCATGGCAACCAGAGTTCTGCTTGGAATTAAATTCTTTGAACAATTATTAAAGTTGACTACCAAAGGAACATTCCTGTGAAGTTTGGATGAAATTGGCTTAGTGGTTTATGAGGAGATGTCGTTTAAAGTAAAAGTTTACGGACGGCTGGACGCCGGACGAAAAGCGATCACAAAAGCTCACCATGTCACTATGTGACAGGTGAGCTAAACAAGAGGGCCATGATGGCCCTGAGGTCGCTCACCTGTATATAGGCCCCCGGAGTGGGGCCAGTTTTAACCCCAGGGCTTTTATTTAACAAACTTGGAAGACACCCATTAGAAGATGTTTCATGATGTTAAGTTTTTACTACACACATATAATGAAAAACAATGAAATTCCCGTCCACCCTCCCCCCCCCCGGCAGGGCCAATTTTAACCCAAGGGCATTTATTTGAACAAACTTGGTAGACACCCAAATGAAGATGTTTCATGCTAAACATCTAAGCTCTAGCTCATTGGGTTTTTTAAAAGAAGATTTTTTAAGTTTTTACAATACACATAATAAGTTAATACAATGACACCCCGGGAGCGGGGCCAGTTTTGACTCCAGGGCATTTATTTGAACAAACTTGGTAGACACCCAAAAGAACATGTTTCATGCTTAATATCTAAACTCTAGCTATTTGGGTTTATTCAAAGAAGACTTTTAAGTTTTTGCTATACACATATAAGGAAAATCAATAACCCCCGGGGCGGGGCCAATTTTGACCCCAGGGCTTTTATTTGAACAAACTTTGTAGACACTCACTAGAAGATGTTCCATGCTTAATATCTAAACTCTAGCTATTTGGGTTTTTTCAAAGAAGACTTTTAAGGTTTTGCTATACACATATAAGGAAAAACAATGACCCCCGGGGCGGGGCCAATTTTGACCCCAGGGCTTTTATTTGAACAAACTTGGTAGACACCTATTAGAAGATGTTTCATGCTAAATATCTTAGCTCTAGCTCTTTGAGTTCTTTAAAAGAAGATTTTTTAAGTTTTTACTATATGCATATAGGGAAAATCAATGACCCCCTGGGGCGGGGCCAATTTTGACCCCAGGGCTTTTATTTGAACAAACTTGGTAGACACCCATTAGAAGATGTTTCATGCTAAATATCTTAGCTCTAGCTCTTTGAGTTCTTTAAAAGAAGATTTTTTAAGTTTTTACTACAGTCAACAATCGTTAACTCGACATCGCTTTTCTCGATATTTCGTTATCTCGATGAAATTTTGAAAGTCCCGATTTTCTTCCTTCTTTATCTATGTTGGAAATATTTGTTTATCTCGATATTTTTATTTCGATATTTTCAGTATCTCGATGTAAAATTTCAGCCCCAACAGTTATTTTCACACTATTATCCTTTGTTTATCTCGACTACCGGTAATAGTTTTCTTTTGTCTGTTCCCTTCAGACTTGTGAAAAACACAAACCAGACGATAATTGCTCAATAGCGCGTGTCATAATGATGATCATGTTTGTAACAAGTTGAGGTGTTATTATAAAAGTTAATCTAATTAGCGTGTTGATTGACTTATGTCCAAAAATAATTGAATTTTACGTTCTTTATAAATGTTCGAATACTGTATCAATTCATTATGACTTTAAATGTAAATGAAATACAGTGAAAGTATAGAGACGTTATGGTTACAATATTGTTTCACAACATCAAAAAATCAGCGGCCGAACAACCTCGAGAAAGACCCGATAACTAACCCGGGAGGATATCCGGATCAACCACCCTGAAAACAATAATATTTTCACTGTATTGGTGTATTACTGAGTAAACCTCACTATGTGTTTTTATCACAGACACCCGTATTTCCGCTGGTAAACATCCGCTAATGTTACTTTATTAAATATTGACTAGGCTTACGAAACAAGACATGGGATATCATAGTTTATTTGACATAAGGTATGCACATGTCTTTTGTAAAAATCAGTTTTTGCCTTGTTCAAACCCTTATATGTATATGTTTATCTCGACATTTCGTTATCTCGATACTTTTTGGACGGTCCCGATGACTTCGAGATAACGAGAGTCGACTGTATATGCATATAGGGAAAATCAATAACCCCCTGGGGCGGGGCCAATTTTGACCCCAGGGCTTTTATTTGAACAAACTTGGTAGACACTCATTAGAAGATGTTTCATGCTAAATATCTTAGCTCTAGCTCTTTGAGTTCTTTAAAAGAAGATTTTTTAAGTTTTTACTATATGCATATAGGAAAAATCAATGACCCCCTGGGGCGGGGCCAATTTTGACCCCAGGGCTTTTATTTGAACAAACTTAGTAGACACTCACTAGAAGATGTTTCATGCCAAATATCTAAGCTCTAGCTCTTTGGGTTTTTTAAAAGAAGATATTTTAAGTTTTTTCTTTCGGTTGCTATGGCAACCAGAGTTCTGCATGGAATTAAATTCTTTGAACAATTTTTAAAGGTGACTACCAAGGAACATTCCTGTGAAGTTTGGATGAAATTGGCTTAGTGGTTTATGAGGAGATGTCATTTAAAGTAAAAGTTTACGGACGGACGGACAGCCGGACGCCGGACGAAAAGCGATCACAAAAGCTCACCCTGTCACTTTGTGACAGTTGAGCTAAAAAGATAAAACTAAAATAACAATGAAAACTTTTACAAAAGAATAACAGTATTACACGTGGCTCTTACACTGCAATGAGGCAGCAAAACATTTTGCTATTTACCAATGAGGAAAAGTTTCTTGACATTTGTACATGTGTATATTAAAAAAAGATATTACAATGCAAAGTATTATGGTTCTTTTTTATGAATTTATAACAACAGTAAATATATGTTGAACTAGAGATCTAACTACATTGTATATATACAAATCATGCAATAACAACAACAACAACAAATCATATATGTGTATCAAAATGACTCCAATAGCTATAAGAAAAATGACCTGAGCTTTGGTAAAGATAATCTCCAGACAGTCTAAAGATCCACATCTTGATCAGCAGTTCTAGTAACATCTTTCAGCAAAATATGAATCTTCAAATAGTTCAAACATCATGACCAATAATTTTTCAAGATACATGCAATGTTTTTTTTAATTGTTACTGACATAACACAGTTTCTCTATAAATTCAGCACAATAATTGTACTGACGATTTCAATTCTGGCTTTTGTGGCCAAAAACGGCAAAACTACAACCCTTTCAAAGTACATGTATTTGACAGCTATGTTTCCAACGAGGACAACCAGTTCACTACTACACCCTTGCACTAATTCCAGTCAAAGTCTGGATCACATGACCCACGATCTGCTTAGTGCTGATTATCTCTTTCATTTACTGATAGTCTGCCGACGGTATTTTGCCTCGTAACTGCCCACGTCAAACTTTCTCTTACACCCGTTGTAGTTCATGTACCGTATCTTACCAAACACTTCTCTCTCCTTCCAGCCCTGGTCGTGTATTCCACAGATCGACCACATGCAACCTGAAATATACGTAATATGTCAGTACAATCTGATTTGTTCATTTTTCTGTGTTGTTTTTTCCTGCCAATTCGAACACAGTTTTTGTCATAAATAACTAACAAAAATAATCATCGATTTCTCCTATATGACAGACTACTTGTCCTACATGAGTTTTAAGTCAGTGATGAGACTCAAAATGACCATTAAGACTTTATTGTTTGAGATCTGGCCTATTATACAGTTGGCAGCACAAATTTTGTAACTTTATATTTACCCTTAAACTTAAATATAGACTGCGCCAAGCAGGGCAAATCCATTATTATAATAATACAAATTCAACAGGTTAAGAGTTAATGGTTAAAGCCTGACTTACCCACATAACCATTGGGATCTCGTCCGTCCAAGTTGTATTTATCATTGAGGTATATAGCTATCTCTAGAGCTTCACTTGGACTACTTGTCCATTCAAGGATCTTCTTTGCCCAGTACATTCTCATAAACCCATGCATCTTCCCTTCATTTACCATCTGATTCTACAAGGTCAAAAACAAATCTTTAAACCCAAACCGATTTGATAAAACTACGCTAAGGAATTGATTTGTTGTAAGTTTGTTAACAACCTCGAATTTTTTAGCAACTTTCTAGGATGAGAGGATTGATAAAATGTGAAATGACATCTTTTTTGGTGTCTTAAAAATACCTTGTTTCAAATTATGTATAATATTATGGAAAAAAAACAGCCAAAAAACAACCAAAATACAACAAACTGGATACTAGAAAATACTGTGATTCTTAGTCAGTTTCAGAACACCTCAGAAGGCTTATTTCCCTTTTTTGCAAAATAAAAGGAGGATAAAATAGATAATATACCTAACTACATCTAGTGTATAATTGCAATAGAGAAGTAAAAGAATATTATTCTTACACTATTGTTTGTTGTTTTATTTTTTTCTCCAGATTTTATGCTGTTTTCAACACACTTCTGGTCATATCTTGGTGGTTAACCTGCCTAATTAGCTTTCTTGGATAATCAAACAGAAAAAAATCTTATTTCTCAGCAAGTGACTGACACATGTTTTTCGGAAGCAGCAAAGGAAGATAAAGGACCATTAGACTCAAAATGTGAGACCAATGGTTATGGACCCCTTGTGGCTGAGGGGTTGCCTTTAACATGTTTAAAGGTTGAGGCATCAGAATAGCAGCCACCACTTATATCTGCACACCTAATTGGGTTTGGATGTCTAGAGTCTGTGCATCTCTTAGCTCCAGCAGATGGGTTGGTTTTGACCACTGGTGCTGCTTTAAGTTTGTAACAACCGAGGTTAGTCAAAACCATCTTTCCTGTTTTGGTGCCCTATGGCTTAAATTGTGTTGGTGTGCCATAAAACCAAACAAACAAAATCAACGGTTATGAAGAAATTTCACTTTTTCCTAAATCAAATCTGATGTTCTCAAAATTGAACTAAGCTGGTTGACATTCCTTTACCAAATGTTACAGCCACTACAGAATGAAAGTAAAGAAATGTTAAATATTCTTACCTGTGCAGCATTCCACAGGTGATCATGAGTCTTGCCTTGTTCCAGTTTTTCCCTGCTATAAACATATTCTCTTTTATCTTTCTCATGAGCTTTCAAAGTCTGTTTAGCCCAATCATATGCTCCTGCAAATAGTGATACATGACCTTAAAGATATGCTATGCTCATCTTTGAGTAAAATATTTTTATTGCTGAAATGTATTGAAATCTGTAAAATTCTTACTGAAAATGTCTTCTATAGATTAAAGAATCTGCAAAATATCATGTATGTATGGGAATCCACCTTCCTTATTTCGAGTCTTTCTTAAACAAGAGGGCCATGATGGCCCTAGATTGCTCACCTGACCCATCAAACTCATCCAAACAATTACCTAGACAAGCATTCTGACCAAGTCTCATGACAGGTGAGTCAAAAATGTGACCACTACAGTGTTAACAAGGACTGACCATATTTGAGCAGTGTGACCTAGTTTTTTACCCAGGTGACCCATATTCAAACTTGACCTAGAAATCATCAAAACAAACTTTCAGACCAATTTCCAGGATATTTGGATCAAAACAGTAGCAACTAGAGTGTTAACAAGATTTTTCTATTTTTAGCTCCGGTGACCTAGTTTCACATGCAATTTCGAAATCATCTGAGCAATTACCTAGACAAGCATCCTGACCAAGTTTGATGATAATTGAGTCGAAAATGTGACCACTAGAATGTTAACAAGGTTTTTCCATATTTGGGCGGTGTGACCTAGTTTTTCATCCAAGATGACCCATGTTCGAACTTGACTTAGAAATCATCAAAACTAACTTTCAGACCAATTTAGTTAAATTGAGGATATTTGGATCACAACAGTAGCCACTAGAGTGTTAACAAGATTTTTCTATTTTTAGCTCCGGTGACCTAGTTTTTCATCCGAGATGACCCATGTTTGATTTGATCCCAGCAATGACCTAGACAAGTTTCCTGACCAAGTTTGATGACAATTGAGTCACAATTGTGACCACTAGAGTGCTAACAAGGTTTTTCTATTTTTAGTTCCTGTGACCTAGTTTTTCATCCGAGATGACCCATGTTCGAACTCATCCGAGCAAGAACCTAGACAAGCATCCTGATAAAGTTTGATGACACTTGTGTCAAAAAATGTGACCGCTAGAGTGTTAACAAGGTTTTACTATTTTTAGCTCTGGTGACCTACTTTTTCATCCGATATGACCCATGTTCAAACTCATCCAAGCTATCATCTAGAAAGCATCCTGATCAAGTTTGATGATGATTGAGGCAAAAATGTGACCGCTAGAGTGTTAATAAGGTTTTTCTATTTTTAGCTCCTGTGACCTAGTTTTTCATCCAGGATGACATATGTTCGAACTCATCAAAGCTATCACCTAAACAAGCATCTTGACCAAGTTTGATGATGATTGAGGCGAAATTGTGACCGATGGAGTGTTAACAAGGTTTTTCTATTTTTTAGCTCCGGTGACCTAGTTTTTCATCCGAGATGACCCATGTTCAAACTCATCCGAGCTATCACCTAGACAAGCATTCTGACCAAGTTTGATGATGATTGATGCAAAAATGTGACCGCTAGAGTGTTAACAAGGTTTTTCTATTTTTCGCTCCGGTGACCTACTTTTTTATCCGAGATAAGCCATGTTCGAACTCATCCGAGCTATCACCTAGACAAACATCCTGACCAAGTTTGATGATGATTGAGGCAAAATTGTGACCTCTAGTGTTAATAAGGTTTTTCTATTTTTAGCTCTTGTGACCTAGTTTTTCATCCGAGATGATTCATGTTCGAACTCATCCGAGCTATCAACTAGATAAGCATACTGACAAAGTTTGATGATGATTGAGGCAAAATGTGACCGCTGGAGTGTTAACAAGGTTTTTCTATTTTCAGCTCCGGTGACCTAGTTTTCCATCCGAGATGACCCATATTCGAACTCATCTGAGCTATCACCTAGACCAAGTTTGATGATGATTGATGCAAAAATGTGACCGCTAGAGTGTAAACAAGGTTTTTCTATTTTTAGCTCCAGTGACCTAGTTTTTCATCCGAGATGACCCATGTTCGAACTTAGCTGAGCTATCAACTAGATAAGCATCCTGACCAAGTTTGATGATGATTGAGGCAAAAATGCGACCGCTAGAGTGTTAACAACTAAATGAGCACGGACGACGGACAATCATCGATCCTAAAAGCTCACCCTGAGCATGCTCAGGTGAGCTAAAAACTGCCAGTTTTTTTTAATGAAACTATATATTCATAGTGTGTCCACTTACAGTGTACATAACATATCTACTTTGTGTGAAGTCAAAACATGTGTATTATATATGTACAAAAAGACTGTGTATGATATCAATATTTAAATATAAAATTTGAACATACTATATCTTTAAATTGGGAATTCTTTCCTTGAAATTGGGAAAAAAATCCATACTTTTTGACACTGGGCAAATGACCCAATATTGGCCATCAAAATGAGCCATAAAAACCTTGTCATAATAAAAGAAATCTTTTCTTTCAATTTTGCAATAAAATTAAGGTCTTTATACATAGGTAGCCTACGGGGCGTCCATGGCCGAGTGGTTAAGGTCGATGACTTTAAACCACTTGCCCCTCACCTCTGTGGGTTCGAAACAGGACAGGGACTTTGGATTCTTTCATGTGAGGAAGCTATCACGCAAGCTTATGGAACTTTGGTGTTTCTACTCAGGTGCCCGTTCATGCCTGAAATAATGCAAGGAAGGGCCCCTGAGCTCTTTCTCCACCAGTAAAGCTGGAATGTCGCCATATGACCTATACTGTGTTGGTGTGACGTAAAACCCAATCAAACAAACATACAAACATAGGTGGCTTCTTCTCGCAGGTTGTCATTGGACAAAGGTTTGACAGTTTGTAGATTTAAATCGTACCTTCTATACTATCATAGTGTTCATTGTAGTAGCAGAAGTTATCGGACAGTTCTCGTCTGATGACGGCCTCCTCTATGTAGGCATCTACCCCTTCCTTGTATTTCCCCCTGTACTGTTTCACCATGAGGACACAGCGCTGTACAGATATCTGACCTGGTGTCAAATAGTGAGTTAAAATTTGTTAAATTATGAAAAATAGAAGTAAACCAGTCAATTATAGATACATCAAGAGCATGGCATATGGTGTAAACATGTGTCTGGTAAAGTAACCACTTTTGAAAGAATGTATACAGCTTTTCATCTGGCTGGAATTGTGTCATAAAGTTATGTAATAAACAATAAGCTATAACATATCTATGACACAATAAGAAATGTTCACACAGTTAATCTAGACAAAAGCAGCATATATCAATACCTCAATCTCAGCACTATATCATGATACTGCATCATGAGGGCAATAATCACGATTCATTGATGCATTGATCATATGAGACCATCTCAAGTAGGCATGCATCTTTGTATTATAATTTTCCTCTAGTTAGCAACAATCAAACAAATATTATTTACCAAAATGTATCCATGGAGACAGGTTACTAAGTGAATTTTTGTTCGGATTATTCCTCTCACTGCCAAAATATCTCAGCCGTTCCTTACAGAATGATTCAAGCATTTTTATCCCAGCGCTGGTTCCAGGCTTTGCCCATTCTACCGGGCCCACAGTCTGGTTCACTTCAAGGCTTGCATAGGCCGAGTCCCAGTCTATTGGCTGCATTTCGAATAGGAAAATAAATCATTATTGTAAAAACAGTAAATCAAAAATTATCAAACAATATTACCAGCTATCTAAAAGAAACATAATGATAGGTAGGTGAAAAAAAATGAAGTTAAGAAAGTAAAGTTAATTTATTTATTTAGTTGGCACGCCCGGCAAACTGTCGCTCCACTTCAAAATTGTGGTGTACGGTAAAACGAGCGAACGGCATTTCCGAGATAGAGCGGAAGGCCGATTTAAACGCCTAATTGTAAGTATTGTTTATGTTTTTGTCTTGTTATTCATTTAAGTTGTATTTTTTTCGAAAAACGGAAAATGTAGTTCCGTGTAGGAATGATTTAGGCTTCCAATGATCTAAGCTGTTACAAAAAGAAAATTATATTAAGCCCGAGAGAACTTTTCTCCCTGACGAAGCGAACGATGATTTGTAGAATATTGAACTTCCCAACCATAGAAATGCCATACCCTTCGGATTTCTTGAAAAAGTGTATTAGTAAATTATCAACCCGTAATAAGAACTTGTCCTTCGTGCAAAATAAATTACTCCTGAAGGATTTCTTAAATTTGTAAATCAATATTTTTCGAAAGTAGTGGAGCGAAAGGGCAAGAGATGGAGCAAAAGGTTCGATGTTGAGCGCAAGGCGATATTAATTTGACGTATTAGGAGGAGCGTAGTCTATGATTTTTTACATATAAAAGATACCGAAGTTAATATAGACGTGATCAAGTGTTAAGACCGATATATATATACCTTTTAAAGACAGCTAAAAAAGTGTGATATCCTTTCAACGACTATAGGGTAATAAATGTAATCGCGAAGGTGTCGCCTATGGCTGCCGTGTAGATTCCAAGCGTGCATTATTTATGTTCGAAATTTGGATGAGGCCTGATCATTGAATCATACACATGTATGCATGGCATAATACAGGATGTCACTTATTCGAGGTCAATCATGATTTTTCACACGGTTATGTACATTTAAAAACGTGTGTCCGTGCAAATGCGACAAAATCGAATATTTTAGTTCTACCGCGAACAATGTTTCCGAGCAGGTACGGGTGTAACTCGATTGTTCACGCCAAAATGTTATGTTTTTCGAAAAGTTAGATATTCAAGGTGCAGATCAGAAACAAAATTATGCAATGCATGGAACACATTAAATTAAATGGGTCACTTCTACCGAGTTCAGTTCACAATAACTCTGTAATTAATAGCTCTAACGTACCTGTTCTGAGCAAAAACACAAATAAGCCACGTTTTCATGAATTTGTAAGGTGGGGAATCGCTATGAAAATGGTTGACAAGGTGTCAGTCGTTATAAGGATATAACACGTGTTCCAGTTATGTTTCAAGATACTTCCTCCCTTATTTAGCATTGTTGTTTAGTTTATTATTTTCCTCTCAAAGTGTAAATAGAAATGTTTACTTTTATAATCAAACACTGCAGTACAAATCTTGGTTTAAGAAAAAAATAAGTTAAAATAAATATCTAAGATTTTGTTTGTTTATCTATGAACAAAACAATCGTAGTAAAAAAGGCAGAGCTCAGTCGGTGTACGGACTAAAATTATCAATAATATAATAGACTTAGTTATAGGAGAAATTTCTATTTACACTTTGAGAGGAAAATAATAAACTAAACAACAATGCTAAATAAGGGAGGAAGTATCTTGAAACATAACTGGAATTATAACGACTGATACCTTGTCAACCATTTTCATAGCGATTCCCCACCTTACAAAGTCATGAAAACGTGGCTTTTTTGTGTTTTTGCTCCGAACAGGTACGTTAGAGCTATTAATTACAGAAAGTTATTGTGAACTGAACTCGGTAGAAGTGACCCATTTAATTTAATGTGTTCCATGCATTGCATAATTTTGTTTCTGATCTGCACCTTGAATATCTAACTTTTTGAAAAACATAACATTTTGGCGTGAACAATCGAGTTACACGTACCTGCTCGGAAACATTTGTTCGCGGTAGAACTAAAAATATTCGATTTTGTCGCATTTGCACGGACACACGTTTTTAAATGTACATAACCGTGTGAAAAATCATGATTGACCTCGAATAAGTGACATCCTGTATTATGCCATGCATACATGTGTATGATTCAATGATCGGGCCTCATCCAAATTTCGAACATAAATAATGCACGCTTGGAATCTACACGGCAGCCATAGGCGACACCTTCGCGATTACATTTATTACGCTATAGTCGTTGAAAGGATATCACACTTTATTAGTTGTCTTTAAAAGGTATATATATATCGGTCTTAACACTTGATCACGTCTATATTAACTTCGATATCTTTTATATGTAAAAAATCATAGACTACGCTCCTCCTAATACGTCAAATTAATATCGCCTTGCGCTCAACATCGAACCTTTTGCTCCATCTCTTGCCCTTTCGCTCCACTACTTTCGAAAAATATTGATTTACAAATTTAAGAAATCCTTCAGGAGTAATTTATTTTGCACGAAGGACAAGTTCTTATTACGGGTTGATAATTTACTAATACACTTTTTCAAGTAATTCGAAGGGTATGGCATTTCTATGGTTGGGAAGTTCAATATTCTACAAATCATCGTTCGCTTCGTCAGGGAGAAAAGTTCTCTCGGGCTTAATATAATTTTCTTTTTGTTACAGCTTAGATCATTGGAAGCCTAAATCATTCCTACACGGAACTACATTTTCCGTTTTTCGAAAAAATACAACTTAAATGAATAACAAGACAAAAACATAAACAATACTTACAATTAGGCGTTTAAATCGGCCTTCCGCTCTATCTCGGAAATGCCGTTCGCTCGTTTTACCGTACACCACAATTTTGAAGTGGAGCGACAGTTTGCCGGGCGTGGTTGGGTATGAAACTTATATAAGATTAATCTATAATCTATAGTACAAGTGGTTGAATTATTCTTCAATAAGTGCATGTGTGATTTAAAATGTTGTTTTTTCTTCATATAGGAAGAACAAAAGAGTTTCCATAAAGGTACTAACTGAAAACATAAAAATTTCCAAGTTTAAGAAATTAAAAGAACACTATAGAATTCACAATTGAAAGATATATCTTCATCGTTGTGCAATAACTGGCTAACTCTTAATTAAATTAAGAACTTAACATGTAACTGCACTAAGTTAACGATTATGTAATGTCCTTCAAATTCTATAGAAACAATAACTAGCATTGTTTCAAAACCTACCTTTGGTTCATTTTTAGGCTGAAACTTGTGTTTACAGACTGGTGGATATTCTGTGAGGAAACCGGACAACTGGTTATGTATTTTGTTACGTATTGTTCTGGCACCATACTCTAGCTTCGGTGAAGCTTCCCAACACGGTACAAGGTTGTGGGCATCAACCTGACATACATAATTATAATAAATACAGTAACTGTCATAACTTCTTGGCTAGCACATATACAACTACATGTAGTTATAATGATTTTTGACAGGATGTACATGTATGGCCCTATATAAACGATTGTTTGGAAATATAAGCCCAGCCGTTAGGCCATGTAATCAGTGTCAGGAATATTTAAATGAATTTATAATACAGCTGAGCAAATTTCACCTTTCAGAGAAAAAAGTTAAGATTTCTACATAAATTGACAGCAGCCATGTATATAAAACTGTCACAACTGTGCAGTTTACAATATATATCATTTATATGGTCGAGTGGCACTTTTGAAATTTTCCAAGTTAGTACTTAAATACATGACTGTTTTGGTACAAATTTTTATCTTGATCCAAAATTTAAAACTTTATTCCGTGCAACTGCATATGGAATTTGTATATGATGTTTTGTAAATTTCTATAAAATAATGACATGATTACATGGCATAATTAGTTTGTTGATTTAGTTGGGTTTTAACCGCCATATGAACACATCTACAGATGTTTCTAAATTCAAAATTTCATCATTTTCTTGTTTAAATGTTGAATTCTGCTAAAGCCAGTGCTAGGGGGTGTGGAGGGTAACTTGCATTTACCAGTACTCTTCGTGAACAGGCTCAAACGAGCCTGCAGCATTTTAAATTTTGTGGTGATGGACGTTCTTTAGAGATTCTGTTTTTTCCCTATTTTAAGTCGCCCTATCACAGATGAATTATTCACAATTAAGAAGCATAACACGTCCATGTTGCAATGTCAATAAATTTACAGGTTGTTTAAATAGCAGTTACTTTACAATTTACCTGGCAAACAGCAATATCCTTTGGTACAGCCTTCACAACATCATCTACCCATGCTCTTGGTACTCTAAGTGGACAGAAATCAGTGACCAGTCCACCAATAGAATGCTCCTTAACAAATGTAGGAAGAACTTCCTTGGCATGGCCTATTAGCAGATGGAAACTTATCCCAAGTTCTTTACACTCCTACAATATATAAAATATACCTTGGTTTATAATTCTCAGATGAAAAATCAAATTACACTTTATCTAAGAGTTTACTGACTGTATGTTTGTTTTGATGGTTTTAATACAATTTTAACACTTTTTTGGTCAAATCTCTGCCAACCATCCATCTGACCAGGTTTTCCGGATAACTTCCAAGTTACTGCAAATTTTCTCCTCAAGTGACAAACTACGTTCTGAATCAGTAGAGTGAGACAATTGAATTAGCTTATTTAATGTGTTTGAGAGTCACAAGATAAAATAGGAGCATAAAAAGCGTTGTAATAAGTTAGCAGTACCTTTTCAATTTCCCTTAGTCCTTCCAACATGAATGTGTAATGTCTGATGGTTGCCTCGAGGAATTTCGGAACCAGACAGAAACAAACATGAAGGGGAACCTCCAACTTCAAAGCCAATTTTTGAGCATAAAGTAATGCCCAGTTATCTGGAAATATGGAAATAATAAAATAAATTAATTTCATGTACTGTGAAGATTTGAAAACTAAACAGCACAAAAGACTCGAAAGTCATTATAAACATGTGTATCTCATATCAAAGGACACTCAACTTCTTGAATGTTATCAATAATCAGCTGGGAGGGGGGGAAGGGGGGTTTCACAGGCAAGGAAAAAGGGCTCTTCACTTAAAATGCGAAAGAAATTAAATAACATATATTTATGCCAAAGTGGAAGAAAAAACATTATGTCAATTGTATTTTAAGGGAAAACTGGGTGGGGGGGAGGAAAAAAAAACCTTTTAATAATAATTTACTCCATTTTAGGTCTCCCTACTAATCTATACATAAAAGCTATTCCTTATGTATCATCCACCTGGTTTTGTAGGGTCATAGACCAGAGACCAACATTTCTGTAACTATTATTTGTTATATGCTAAAATTAAGTTAAGCAAGCCTGTATGTAAGAGTGAACATATCAAATTCTGTTCTTTGGGTTCCTGGTTAACTTTGTTCAAATACATGTGTAATCTATAGAAATATCTAGAACTAGAAAATGAAAATTTTATAATGCTAAAAGTAGGGCAAATTAAAAAGAATACTGAAATAATGGAATGAATCACCATGCACTCTTTGATCTCTTGACATCCAGTAGACCACACCATTACTTTCATCTGGAAAATCCTGAGTCTTTGACAACACGCGTACGCGTTTCTTGTTGAATTTAAACTCTGCAACCGACCCACATACTGACATCCGCGTGTCTTTGATTTTCTCCTCAAAATCTTCAGTAGATGTTTTCTTAACTGCAGGTTCACCATTTTCCTTCAACTGGTCATCACTATCCAACTTCCTCTTCTTGTTGGCAGTGTCTTTATCACTCGACATGGTGGACATGAACCTGTTACACAACAATGGTAGAAATGTCTTTTCAAGAGTTGTAATTGAAGATTTTGTTTTCAAGTAGTGAATTATTGTTTCTTTACCCTCATATAATTCTAATTTGGGTTGGGCTAGTAGTTTTAATGTTCTCAGACGAACATTTCTTACCACTCTTATCATAACCTGTTAAAAATAAGAAAATATTGTGTAAATAAATTACTGATGCATTTTCGACAATAGTAGAAAGTTTGTTACCCTTCAGCCTGCTGGCAGAAAGAGATTTTTTTAGTGCAGATCAAGATAGCTGGCAGTCGTGGTCTGTTAGGTGAAGTGTTTGCTACTCAATCTGTACATATTTTAAATTTTCTCTAAAAGTGATAAATGGTTTTGTCCAGATTGAAAGATTGGCAAGTACATTAAAGATAATTCAGCAAGGTAAGGGTAAAAAAATTTTGGTCTAAAAATATAAATAGTAAAATGCCTGATGCCTGAAGGAAATGTTTCTTAGGATTAATAGGTCATACAATATCCTTGTAATGGCTGATGTTAACAATCATATTACATTGACAGAGGTATTTTATTATTTAGAGTTCAAATTTCAGTAAGAGAAAAGTTAAAAGCAATTATCTAAATGCATGTTAGTCTTTAGTTTTGGCTGGGAAAAACGTTACAGTTATAGTATGTCCCAGGTTTTGGTTTATACAGAATTTACTTTAATTTGGACGTGTAAGAAGCTATATTAAGCTAATAGACACACTTTCGAATCCAATCCTGGAACCAACCAGTACTGAGCAATGAGTGTAAAGTTTCTTGCTCAAAGAAACAACAGCTTGCCCCTGAAGAAACAACAACTTGCCCCTGACGAGGTATGAACACATGCTGCTACCAATTATTAGATTACTTGTCATGCCGCCACATCGAAAGTCTTTAGTTTTCAGATCATAACTGTCCAACAGGCTGGTGAAAATGCCCAATCGGGCTTATGACATAAAATACTATATTTCTAGAAAAATAATTAATATGTTTCTTTCCAACTTGTTTTGTTTATTAAGCCTTTATATTATATTAATATATGATACAAATCAAAATAAGAATATTTTGGTTATCTTTTATTTTCTTAGAATTATTTCCCTTTTTCCCATTTTTTGGAATCAAAATATTTGAAGTTTATAAAAATTATGTTGTAATGTTTAATTCTTAATTTAGAAATGTGCTTATCAACTTCATTTTGCTCTAGATTATTGCGCCAGTACCTTTATTATATATATTTAGATTAAATATTCTGTTTTTGGCATTTATATTTTGAAAATTCTTTGACACTGCCGAGATTTTTTTTGGCTTATTTTATAGCCGTTATTGGGTCATATTCCCAAATGAATAACCTTATCTACATGAAAATAGTATATTTTTTTCCCAATCCACAGGAAAAAATTCCCAATTGAAAGTTACAAAATAAAAATATTGAAAAAAAATTCTCTTATCTTTGAAAATAAGAGCTTCTTCACTCTTACAGTGCTTAAATGTTTATGATGCCATCCTGCCATTAAATCACTGGAAAATTTCAGTCATGCATTTTTTGCCCCAATTTTTAACAAAACACCACTGAAATTCCCAATTTCATTTCATGTTCCCAAAATTCTTAAAAAAATCCCTGCACTGAACATTATACTTTAAAGTTTTCTCTGAAAACTGAATGATATGCATGCTGACAGGTGTTGGCGCAATGAATAAGAGCATAAAGAAGTTTTTATTTTGTTTTACATTTTGCATATGTAACTTATTTTTTAAAGACTTCAAAAATTATGTGTTATAAAAACATGAAAAAGGGAAAATAATTCTCACAAAAGTGACAGTAGCCAATTATTTTTCTTTCTATTTTATGTCAAATATTATTCTCAATAAACAAACAAAGTTTATAAGAAATATCTGTATTACTTTTTTATAAATATGATTTTTTATGTCATAAGCCTGATCGGGCATTTTCCCCAGCCTGTTAAAGGAATATTGATAATTTTCAAACACATCATTTCTTTCACCTTAAACGGTAAAATAATGATAGAAAAATAGAAATATCATGTAACCGTGTTTTGTACTTCATTAGGTGTTATTCTCCAGAGCTACATGTATATCCGTAACATAACAGAAAACGGTGTTTAGCTAGGTTTTTTCGAAAAGGTCAATGATTTTTTTCAAAACTTGCTTTAAACAGTTAAAAATCACTTAACAGTACACATTTTTGTGTTTATGATAAAAATTTAAATAAATCTGTCTCGGTTGCCTTCAGTTTTCTTACAATCATTTTCTTTTTCCAATGTAAATGACAAGTCTACTTTAGCCCTGGCCTCAAACTGAATCAGTTTGAAACCTTTTCATTGCTCAGTGCAAAATTCTAGGGCGCAGTCTAAAACGCGGACGCCTTAAGCGGACAATATAAACATATAGGGAAAACGCTGACGATATAGACAAAGAGGAAAAAAGCGGACGATATAGATATATAGTGTAAAATGACTGAGCATAGTTAAATTCATATTAAAGGCTAATAATTGACTTTTATAAAGTAATATCTGAAAGGTGTAATTATAATAATGATTAAAAAAGACTTTAGTTAATTTATTTGTTCAAATTCTTAAATTTATGTTTTTTATTTGTTCATGTTAATTGACTTAATAACTTTTAATTAAACAGTACAAAACATGCAACAGTCACGTGCGGAAAACTGAATAAGGGCACAACAAATAAGTTTGAATATATTTGAACACTTTGCATACGCAATTCGCGGACATGATAAACAGATAGGGAAAACGCTGACAATATAGACATAGAGGAAAAAAGCGGACGATATAGATATATAGTGTAGATTGACATTTTTTTTCAAAATATACAATTTACTATGATTTGTAATTTACTTTTGTTTCTATATTGCACATTAATTGACATATTAGCCGAATCTTCTTTTGTGTACATATATAATTATGAAATAGTGGGCGAATGAGTATATTTTTGAAAATTAACGTTTACCGGTGAAAATACACGTGTTGCAAATTAACTTAAAGCATTACAATTAAGTGTGAATGACTTTGTCACATTATTAAAATTGATACTTTATACCATATTTCATCAAGTCGAAATAGAAAACGCGGACATATAGTGAAAAAGCGGACGATATAGATATAGAAGGAAAACGCTGACGAAATATAAATGTATAGAACGGGAGAATAGAAAACTGTTATAAATAAAAAAATATCTGGCTTCTACCATGTATATAATTAATTTATATCAATTAACTTTCTTTAATTCATTATATTTTTTAGTTTTATTTATATTTTATCCATAAAGTAAATAAAAGAAACTTTCTGCTATAAATACCAATCAACTAATTAAAGTATCCACGTGTCACCTGTGTATTTGACTTAATCACGCACCGACACTTGTATATTTCAAGTAATCATACATCTCACCCTTGTACAATTAATAAAGTCGCTAAAGAAAATGCGGACAATATAGACATATAGTGAAAAAGCGGACGATATAGATATAGAAGGAAAACGCTGACGAAATAAATGTATAGAACGGGAGAATAGAAAACTGTTATAAATAAAAAAATATCTGGCTTCTACCATGTATATAATTAATTTATATCAATTAACTTTCTTTAATTCATAATATTTTTTAGTTTTATTTACATTTTATCCATTAAGTAAATAAAAGAAACTTTCTGCTATAAATACCAATCAACTAATTAAAGTATCCACGTGTCACCTGTGTATTTGACTTAATCACGCACCGACACTTGTATATTTCAAGTAATCATACATCTCACCCTTGTACAATTAATAAAGTGGCTACAGAAAATGCGGACAATATAGACATATAGTGAAAAAGCGGACGATATAGATATAGAAGGAAAACGCTGACGAAATAAATGTATAGAACGGGAGAATAGAAAACTGTTATAAATAAAAAAATATCTGGCTTCTACCATGTATATAATTAATTTATATCAATTAACTTTCTTTAATTCATAATATTTTTTAGTTTTATTTACATTTTATCCATTAAGTAAATAAAAGAAACTTTCTGCTATAAATACCAATCAACTAATTAAAGTATCCACGTGTCACCTGTGTATTTGACTTAATCACGCACCGACACTTGTATATTTCAAGTAATCATACATCTCACCCTTGTACAATTAATAAAGTGGCTACAGAAAATGCGGACAATATAGACATATAGTGAAAAAGCGGACGATATAGATATAGAAGGAAAACGCTGACGAAATAAATGTATAGAACGGGAGAATAGAAAACTGTTATGAATAAAAAAATATCTGGCTTCTACCATGTATATAATTAATTTATATCAATAAACTTACTTTAATTCATAATATTTTTTAGTTTTATTTAAATTTTATCCATTAAGTAAATAAAAGAAACTTTCTGCTATAAATACCAATCAACTAATTAAAGTATCCACGTGTCACCTGTGTATTTGACTTAATCACGCACCGACACTTGTATATTTCAAGTAATCATACATCTCACCCTTGTACAATTAATAAAGTGGCTACAGAAAATGCGGACAATATAGACATATAGTGAAAAAGCGGACGATATAGATATAGAAGGAAAACGCTGACGAAATAAATGTATAGAACGGGAGAATAGAAAACTGTTATGAATAAAAAAATATCTGGCTTCTACCATGTATATAATTAATTTATATCAATAAACTTACTTTAATTCATAATATTTTTTAGTTTTATTTAAATTTTATCCATTAAGTAAATAAAAGAAACTTTCTGCTATAAATACCAATCAACTAATTAAAGTATCCACGTGTCACCTGTGTATTTGACTTAATCACGCACCGACACTTGTATATTTCAAGTAATCATACATCTCACCCTTGTACAATTAATAAAGTGGCTACAGAAAATGCGGACAATATAGACATATAGTGAAAAAGCGGACGATATAGATATAGAAGGAAAACGCTGACGAAATAAATGTATAGAACGGGAGAATAGAAAACTGTTATAAATAAAAAAATATCTGGCTTCTACCATGTATATAATTAATTTATATCAATTAACTTTCTTTAATTCATAATATTTTTTAGTTTTATTTATATTTTATCCATTAAGTAAATAAAAGAAACTTTCTGCTATAAATACCAATCAACTAATTAAAGTATCCACGTGTCACCTGTGTATTTGACTTAATCACGCACCGACACTTGTATATTTCAAGTAATCATACATCTCACCCTTGTACAATTAATAAAGTGGCTACAGAAAATGCGGACAATATAGACATATAGTGAAAAAGCGGACGATATAGATATAGAAGGAAAACGCTGACGAAATAAATGTATAGAACGGGAGAATAGAAAACTGTTATAAATAAAAAAATATCTGGCTTCTACCATGTATATAATTAATTTATATCAATTAACTTTCTTTAATTCATAATATTTTTTAGTTTTATTTATATTTTATCCATTAAGTAAATAAAAGAAACTTTCTGCTATAAATACCAATCAACTAATTAAAGTATCCACGTGTCACCTGTGTATTTGACTTAATCACGCACCGACACTTGTATATTTCAAGTAATCATACATCTCACCCTTGTACAATTAATAAAGTGGCTACAGAAAATGCGGACAATATAGACATATAGTGAAAAAGCGGACGATATAGATATAGAAGGAAAACGCTGACGAAATAAATGTATAGAACGGGAGAATAGAAAACTGTTATAAATAAAAAAATATCTCTATAAACGTGTATTACATTGTCTATTTAATATTGTTGTCTTAAGTAAGGGATTTAGTTAAAATATGTGATTGTTATATTCTTTATAGCTATATACATATATTAAGTTGTTACATTGATATTATTATTTGTATGTGTAAAATAAATTCATGTACCGAATGTGTTATATTGCTTAAATAAAATTGCAATGAAGTTCATCCTTTATCTTCGTTTTTATTACTGCACAATATTACTATACACTATCATTATCTATTTTATTATAATTTTATCTCACACATCATTCTACACTATATCTATAGCGCCCGCTTTTTTCCTCTATATCTATATCGTCCGCTTTTTCTCTATATATTTATATTGTCTGCAAAATATGGCAAAGAGCGGACAGGTTCAATTAGGTAGCATGTTGTTGACACTTAATTGTCGTTAATTTGCAACACGTGTCCGTCACAACAGTATACGTGCATGCCTTTTTCTTTTTATCAACGACCATTAAACTTTAAAATTACCTTAAAAACATGAATTTATAAATAAGCGTGTTTTTGTCCAAAAATCATTGTACAAATGTGAATGAAAGCTTTTATCCTTATTTTTTTTAATGTGGTCAATTTAGTATCATTCGTAATTTGAAAAAAATATATTATCTTATTTGCCATTAAGTTTTACGTATATGAATATATTATTCTATTATACAGCATTTCTATAAAGTTCATCGATTCCCACCTCATCATACTTAAGTCTACTCTAAATTTCTATATCGTCCGCTTTTTTCCTCTATATCTATATCGTCAGCGTTTTCCCTATATATCTATATTGTCCGCAAAATGCGTATCATGTTATCTCTAGCTAAGTGCCGACACGATTAATCAGTAGCGTGTTGTTCACACTTATGTAATTACCGTTAATTTGCAGCACGCTTCTGCTTATATTGTATCAATAAAAAAACAACAGCCTGTCATTACTTATTTATATCAATAATTTATGATTAAAAATTACTCTTACAAACTTTTGATTTTGAAAAATCAAGGCTTTTTTTTTTTGCGAACAAAAATTTTGTCCGCCTACTGCACATAAAGACAGACAAAAACAATGCCAAAATGAAATACATATCCTTAATTACATATCAGCTGTTGCCAATTTAGTACCATCATTGTAATTCTAAAGACATTCATTTGATCCATTTGTTTCATATATTAGTTTTCAATATTTAGAAATTCCGAAAATGTGTCATATAAATATAATATAAAATTCATTGACATTCAATCATAAATTACTTTAATATTTCTCCCAATTTTCTAATTTATTATATTTTTTTATATATTAAAGTATAAATCCAATTACACATCATTTTTATAAACTTCATCAATGCCCAAAATCATCACCAATTAGTCTACACTATATATCTATATCGTCCGCTTTTTTCCTCTTTGTCTATATTGTCAGCGTTTTCCCTATATGTTTATATTGTCCGCTTAAGGCGTCCGCGTTTTAGACAGGCCCAAAATTCTATAATAATAAACAACAAAATATTTCAATTATAATCACAGGAACCATTTAAGACTAGTAATATTTTTATTTAACAATTTAGGTGTTAAATAAGAAAAACTTCCACTAGATCTTTATTATAACAAAGAATAAAATTTATCCGAAATTTGATATATCCGAAAATAATCACTGTTGATTACATAACACCACATGTGAGAAATCTCAACAAGCTGCACAGTAATTATTAATGATAGATTCAACCTCATAATTTTATGTCTGACATTATGCTTTACAGTATTATGACAATGCTTTGATCATTAGTTACAAGCAAAATTACATTTAGCGCAAAAAATCTTACAGAACAGCTTTTCTGATGACTTAAAAAATTTACGCTCGCCGTTTTGTCATAGGACACTAAATTGAACGCTGCTAAAAGTCACATATCCTGACGAAAAATTAGTCTGGATTACCTGCCCTTTTCTCTTCGTTTAATAGTACGACAGGAACCAGACTAATGCAGTGTGTTCACTTATTAAAGCATATAACATTTTATGTTATATAGAATTGTTTTAAACTTCACAAAATGACTGAAAGTGAAATACATGTAATCTACTCGACATCACTAATTCCGCGTCATCACTTAATTCACGGTAATGGCATATTTTCATGTGACCAGTGTTAGAATTGGTCAGAATTGAGATATTTTATTCAAACACCTAAACAACAAAGTTTTTGTGCAAAATATTTCAAATCTATAGATTTTTACGTAAAACAGAACAACATTTTACAAACTTCTGCAAAAAGCAACAATAGTGCATACGTCTGAAACAATCATCATTTTCTAAATGTTCTTGTCATTTTCTAAATGTTCTTGTTTGCTGAAAAAATAATTTTTGAGTTACAATGTAAAGATACTTTTAATATTTAAAATTATGCAAATAACAAGTAGAAATTTTAAAGATCCTGTAACACATTATTTTTATGGTTTTATATACAAATTATGATGCTCAAATTAAGATTTATCGATATTGTAAGTTTCAAAAAACATTATTTAAAAAGATATTACCGAATTTGATATTTCATGTAAATAAAGGGATGTAATTAGAATTTAGTTTTCTATAAATTCTAAGTCAATTTTTCCAATAAATAATGAATGCATATAATTTAATGATTACCTTAAATATGTACAAATATTTGCAATACATATTTTACATATTCTTCGATGTTTGAAAATTGACCAATTTGCATAATTACATACCTATATAATTTAATGAAGAGTGGTATGCAATCTCAAGGGGGCCTCCGTGGCCGAGTGGTTAAAGTCGTTGACTTGAGATCACAGGTCCCTCACCACTGTAGGTTCGATTCTCACTCGGGTCGAAATCTTTCATGTGAGGAAGCCATCCAGCTGGCTTACGGAAGGTCGGTGGTTCTACCCAGGTGCCCGCTCGTGCCTGAAATAATGCCCGGAGAGGCACCTGGAGTCTTCCTCCACCAAGCTGGAAAAAAATCGACGAAAAATCTCGGCGGGACGCTGTAGGATGACCCGACTTGAGTGTACGGTCGCCCATATGGGCTTTCCGGCGGCAAACCTAAAATACCTATATGTTACAGCTTATGACAATTTTGTGCCATAAGTTTTATATGTTGTTTTCTTTCTTGTTTCAAAGCGTTGAGTACCGTAAGAGGAGCACAGTATAATAATTTGAAATAAATTAAGGTTTCGGTTTGTGTGAATTTAGATATATATGTTCTTTAATGTGACCTAAATGCGTATAGTGATGTCGTTCTATGCCTATGTAATACCTGGGAGTATATACTACCTTAATGTAGGAAATATCTTTATAACACTTTATAACATACGAAGATCGAAGTGTTCATGATAGCAATAGGGCTATTTTTAGTGCAAGTAACAACAACAAGTCTTTTTAAAGCGATGTTCATATAAAAAAAAGGAAGGCTCTCCCAACCTGGTAATGCTTAAAATGACATCTTTATCTCTTTTAAGTCATACTGTGAACAATCTAGAGTTAACAATACCTTTTTAATTTGATAGCATTGAATCGGAATATGACGTCTATTTCTGTAATATTGTGATTGAAACAGATATGTCTGACTAACAGAATAATTTTTTTTAAATGCCCATTGACAAACGATTATCACCAAATCCGGAACATCGCTGACGGGTAAACATTTTGTTGATAACTAGCGAACGCAACTTCTCGGAACTTTCCAGGACTTTGATCACAATAGTACAAATGTATAATTACACAGGATGGATACAGTATTTTGGTTTTACATACGCTAATTGTCCGTATCTTAGAAAGGGCGGCAACCAAGATTCCTTGAAGACCAGGCATAGCTAGTAAAAATACTTTGTTCCTGTTCGCCATATACGATAGTGACACATGAATCTATAATGGCCATTATGGACATCTTCGGGCCATTATCGCAAAATGATGAGCAACAACCAAGTATTAATTTAACCTCTAAATAAATGGAAAATAGAAAAGCTTCAAAAAACATTAAAGAAAATTTTATTGAGGGTTGTTCAGTTGATATAAATCAAAGTGTTTTAGATTTAAAGTGCTTGCTCGCTTATTTTCAATTGTTTCAAAATCTGCCAAAGTATAAATGCAAAAACTATAAAATTTTCTTATCCAACATTTTGCATGCATAGAATGGAAATATCGACATTTTCTTGTGATAAGTTAATCAAATTACAGCTGAAATGTACAAGACTCCAAATATATATGACACATTAACATACCGCATATATTTATCTCTTTAATAAAAGAATAAAATGATTGGAATTATGTGATACAGAAAGGCCTAAATTAATCCATCGTAAGCAGTGCTTTCAGCGCTTTGATCTAACTTGTAGTGATATTTTGAGCACTACAACTTTTATAGTTATTTAACCATCCAAGTTTTCAAATGAGACCTAAAATGTTTATTTACTTGAATTATGAGTGAAAACACACTAATTGTCTGAAAAAATGAGATTTTTTACAAGTGTATTTACGCTCTTGAAATCCCCGAAAATATCTCGTTTTCATTATAAATCTACAAAAGCATTTAAAAAGACAGTTGCGCCATCTGATAAAGTTTCGAATTCCGGATAACTTGCGCTTTATTTTTAAAATATTCATCAAGCAACTGCAAAGTTATCGATGAAAAGCATACCTGAATCGGGAGTAAATGAGTGACTAAGATACCCAAATAGGCACGTTGAATTGGCTGGCAACTTGCACAATGGTATCTTAAAAAGTTAAAATGCATATGCTACATGTTCCCCATACAACATACTCATGCTGGAAAAAATACCCATTCTCAGAAACTCGAGTTAAGACGCAATGTGCCGCAAACTTGCTGAAAAGTCGAAACAACGATGGCGAAAGATCGAAACTACCATGGTGAAAACTCGAAATTATATCGAGCTTTCACCATCGTGGTTTCGTTTAATATTTTGACTTTTAACCATCGTACTTTCGACTTTTCATCATTGTGCCTTGACTTTTCACCATCGTGGTTTCATTATTTCGACGTTAAACCATCATACTTTCGACTTTTCATCATTGTGCCTCCGACTTTTCACCATTATCGATTTTACCATTTCGTTGCTTCGAGTCATGTCTTGCGATGGCCCTAATGTCCCACCGTAGACAACAATCGTGAATAAAGATTATATTTAGGTCACGTTTTATCGGGTTACAAGTGTGCAATATTATATTTTTTAAGAGTATTATATTTTTTCATTTACCGAACAGGCGGTTATGAAAGCTCGTAAAACATAAACATGCCTTACTGACTCTGTGTATTTTGTAAATTACATACTTTATTTTGAAACTCGATGTTTTGAGATAAAGGTAATGTTATCTTATTTGAATTCCAACTATGAAGATAAATGTATTTTATAAAATTACTAACTGCTGAAAATAAGTCTTATATACTAACTTTTTTTTCCATTTTCTGTATCACAAACCAAAGATACTTAGAAGAAAATTAAAATAAAACATTTGAATGCAAAGTTTAAAGGTGCCTCATGTGTGAATTTCAGAAATGACAAGTAAAACGGGGAGGCAACTGGAGTGAAGAAAACATAACATACGCGTTCAATGCTGTGGAGTATTTCAGCAATGTCCAGGACATATCATGTCACAGATAGGGTTAATGGAAAAGTACAATTAGAAGCTAAAATAGGGTAAAATATGCAATAAATAACGAGGAAGTATAAGTTCGTTATTATACTCTACCGCAAAGTGGTTTGTTTGTTGCATTTTCATGTTTTTGCCCGGTGCCCTTGATGCAAAATACAAATCAGCCTTCATAAAATTTCTTATGTTGGTCACAGGTTTGAGTTCTGGTCAAGCTCAAAGTTTTTCTCAATCTGTGACTGCATATAAGCATGAGTTCAATTTCCTATGCTCTGTAACATAAGAAATTCACGGGCACAAATCGATATAGTGGGGAAATATGTTGTGGTTTAGAACTGTTTCATTATTAAAGAGAAAATGTGTAGCCGGCCGGATAGCTCAGTTGGTCTTCTGAAAGTCATGGGTTCGAGTCATGGTCAGGCAGTTTCAGTCAGGGTTTAGAAGTGGTTTTTCAATTGACACATGTTTGATTCATTTAACAGATTGCATTATTTGAAATGGACAAAGGCAGTATTGCATGATACTTTTAGATCTACAAAAGGCATTTGATACAGTTGAACACACTATACTGCACATGAAGAAGTTGTTTTTCTTCTTCTTCATGAAACTTCAAGCATCTGCCATATATAATGACATTCTTACATGGTTTAAGTCTTATCTCTGATAGACCGCAGCTGGTGGATGTGGCTGGTACTCATTCTACTACTGCTCTGAGTACCTATGGTGTCCCCCTGATGTTCATTTAAGGTCCTCTTTTATGTCTAATATATGTCAATGACATGTCTTCAACCCTAAGCAATAAGCTTTTATTATAATGCACAGGCACGAGTATCAGACCTGGGAAGAAAAAATATGGCCAGATTGATAAAAAAACCTGTGTTCATCTTAAAAGTGTCAACAACCAAAATAAAATGTAAATAATGACCCCCTTTAAAAATATACTTCAAGTTGATAGTATATTTTTAAAGGGGATCATTATTTACATTTTTTTTCTGGTTTTTATAAACACAGTTTTTTTTATCAATCTGGTCATCTGGTCATATTTTTTCTTCCCAGGTCCGATACTCGTGCCTGTGATTATATGCTGATGACTCAGGAATCCTTGTGTCTCGTAAAATAAATCTGAAGAAATTCTTTCTTATAGCATGAGTCTTATAAGATTGCTTAATTGACTATAAATTGTCTTTGCATCTTGGCAAGACAGAGTCTATTCTTTTTTGGTTTAAGTTTCAACTTAAACTGGCCCTAGCCTCCAGGTCACATGTAATGGTACTGCTATAAAGTACACATCTTTTGTTAAATATTTAGGTGCAAATCTGGATCAAATTCGTTTGGCGTCGCCCTTTGATGCTTTGCATCAATGCTTTTCTTGTACCATTACATAGAATATATGGCATGACCATTCAACAAATTTTAGGGTTTGCTTGGTGTATTGCCGAAGAAAAGGGTAAAAGCGACGTACGTCTTTAGTCGTGGTCTCATGTCCAAACTCTAAAGGGTCCGTCTCACCATGACGTTTTGGTCAACGCTCCCTGAACGTTTCAATCGTTCAATTTGTGAACGTTTGCGAATGAAGTTGACACATCTAGCGTGTGATTAACGTGCGTCTAACGAATAACTAGCGTGTGTCTATCGCAAGGGAAACGTGTAACAGCGACCAAGTAAGATACGTTGGAAACCCATAAGCGTGTGCTAACGTGCAACTGGCGCGGGACGAACTATTTGTCAACGCTTGACGAGCGTTATGAGCGTGTGACTAACGAGTGAATAACGACAGAATAGCGTCTTGATGGCGTGTTATTCTTACAGTCAAACGGGTGCAGAATGCTGAAAATTTCATAGTGAATTCAGTTGCTCTTGTGAGTTTGAATAGTAAGCATCATGACGCCAAGACAAAAAGAATAGGATGAGGGCTCCTACTAGCTACATTTGTATTTCCAAATCCTTGACGTCTTTATTTTCATGATTTAGTCCAACAGTCTCATGTTCGTCGGGGTTTTCTTCTTTATGGATGAGTGTCGGGTTCTTCTCTGTGGATGAATTCCCTCAATATGTTCAGATACATCTATACTTGATGCATGGCTATAGCAAAAATCTAAGCCTACCCAATCTTTCAGGATCTTCCATAGTAGGTGTTCTCTACGATAATTCAAAATCAAATGAACCTCGCTTTTCACATTATGCAAAGACGTTCGTGAAACGGTCGAATAACGCTCAAATGACGCTCAATAGACGCCAAAAGGACGTTTGTTTACCTTTAGTCACAGGTTTTGTGCGCTTGAAGACCGTTCAGCGGTCGTTGAAAGGTCGCAAGTGAGTCGCCAGTAAGGCGTTTACTGAAAAGCAAACGATTAGTAACAACCAAGTAGCGATTGAGTAACGACTGACTAACGATAGCAGTACGTCAAAAGTTAGTAAAACGTGCCATGAACGTTCTTCAAATTTAAACGTTGAAAAACGCTAGTCTGAATGAAAACTTTGGTGCATGTTCAAAACTTTTTTCCGGACCAGCGTTCTACGATTACCGACGTTCACTGGCATTCAAACAACCTTCTCCTGACGCTATCCAAGCAACCATGGGCGACTTTCAACGTTTCTTAAACCGTCGTAGAACGCTGACCAGAACGTCATGGTGTGACGGCCCCATAAATTGTATTTACAATTGTGATGAGGAGGCCCTGTTCCTTAATAATTCAACAGGACAGAAAGTAATTGTTCCGGTCCGATATAAACATGCACATTCTTTTTCTGTCGCCACCAATAAGCATATAACGGTCCACTGATGTGTAAACGCTGCAGGGGCAGCAATACCGCCTATGATAAGCAAGAGCTTGCCTGGTGGGCCTTATCACCATCAAGGGCCAATAAATGACAGTTACACGTTCTCCGAAAGCGGTTTCATGGACCAGATACTCTATAGGAAATGTTTATCCCGCACGCGGTGAAAGACGCAAACTGCTTCTTATAAGAGATGGTGCAACTTGCGACATGAGGGTCCGCTAATACAATCTGCCATTGCAAACGTCATGTCATTATGCTTTCCCTGTCGTCTAAAACTACCCACTTTACCAAACCACTGGACGTAGCGGTATTCCGTAACATGAAATTGTTCCGCCCACTCGTGAACGTGACCCGGTCATTCAGAACTTAGACAAAAGACGGTACTGACCTTTACGGGAAAATTTTATACCACTAAAATGACTAATAATTTACCTTATATAATTTGGTATATATAAAATTTTAATGCTTTTATTATATAGTTCAATGTATTATGGTATTTCAAAAAGTAACAAATAACTTCATTCATGCATTAATGATGCATAAAACGTTTGGCAAAGATCTTGTTATATTTCTCGTTGACTTCAAGGAAGATGTTACTGACAAAATATCATTAGTTTACAAATTCAAAGATAGATAAAATTGAAGTAGCGGAACTTATATATACATTTGTAGTAAAATATATCAATAACACAGTAACAGGTAAAGGTAAAGGTCTTGTTTATTATAGTGTCACCCCTACTGAAATTAAGGGCCAGCCATTTTGACTTATGAGACACCTTTTGCTTGCATACCATGTACCTCCCAATTCCTACCACTATGCCAGGCGCCAGGCGGATAGAAATCGGTAACCATTCATTTTAATTACCTCGCGGCTCGTAACATTTACAAATGTTTTGAGGGTTATTGTGCGAAATCAATTGTATATAATGCATATGTGCATAAATTGTAAAATTGAATGAGAACTTTGTAGTATGATGTATGATAAATATGTATATATGTACATTAGATATGCTTCGTGATAACATGCAATATTATTCACTTCAAAATAAGTTTCGCATACACCAGACCTCGGCTTTAAATTAAAACCGTGATCAGATATGATGTTATTGAAGCAGACGTATTTAAATATTTAATCTTGATTCATTGAGCTTTAATAGAAATATTTAGGTAGATAAGGATATATTCAAGACCTGGGAGATGAGTTATGATAATTCCAAGTTATTTCTAATATTATCTGTGCTATCAGCTTTTTATAGCTTGCTAAATTCTGTACCATATTTCCCCTAAATTCAGGTATTGAAATAAAAAAAAAAACATTAAGTTTTATTCATTTTGTATTTGAAACTTGAAAGTCAAAAATTCTTGATGACTGGTTAATTTTACAGACAGCCTAATCAAATTAAAGAAATATTTTGTTAAGACATGACATCCCCGTCTTATACATTTCAAGGGATTTTCAATATCATAACACATCATGTTGTTTATAGCAATGTAAAAATACATTTCATGTTAAGTAAGGAACGTAAAAACCTATATATCATCAACTTTTAATTGCAGATATCAGTCAAATTTTAAGATGAAGCTGAGACATATCTCAGGTCTTGAATATATTCTTCACTGTATATAGTGTAATTAAACCCTGTTGTTGATCAATTTATATCCAGAAGAGATTTTTGTAATTTAAATATAGATTTTAACAAGTATGTAGTTAATGGTACAATTTGAAGACATCTGCCACTATAGGAAAATCCTTCGGCCATATATTCGTGAAATGTTTACTAGTACAGATACCGAATCTTGCTGAAAAATCTATGAAATATGCATGAGGTTATATTAAGAAGGGTCTATATATTTAGCTATCTAAATGTGACATGTAAGAAACTTGACTAGGTGTAGACGCGGCCTTACCCTCGTTCACAGCGTGTACTTAGTAAAGGCAGGTAATTAAAAAGACTGGCGGTGAAAATTTAATTTCACCAGTTCACGGTTTTAAAGTAGCTTCAATACTGCAAAATCGGTCATTTAAAGCACGAAACATGTAAATTACTTGAATCTTGAATCTTATTTCTTTTCCTAATATATTAGAACATTTTTCTCAAGTTTGATTTTTCTCAAATTATTTAAGCTCATCTTGAGGCATGCAGCTTTAACTTCACGAACTGACGTTTTCTTACTTAAACGGTTTCAACTTAAAGGATTATCGTTTTAACGATTTTATATTTATTAATTCGTGATTTCAAATTCATGAATTCATAATGTTAACTTCATGATGTTGGTAAAGAACAAATCGTCAATTCATGAAAATTAAGTAACGAAGATGAGATTGTGAATTCAAAAATATGAATTCATGAAGTTGAAATTATGGAATTTGTATGGTTGAAAACGTGAATTATTTCAGATGAATCCATAAAGCTGAAATCGTGAATAAATAAGTTGAAATTATGAATTCATGAAATTAATAAGTTGACATTGTGTAATTGAAATGATAAGTTCATGAAGGCAGTATAAATATCACTGCTGACCTTTCGTAGGTACAGTAAATACACTTTTCTTGCCTTCTTATGTCTGAAATAATGCACGGAGGTGCACCTGAAATCTTCAATCACCAGTAAAGCCTGGTAGTCACCGTACTATTGTAGTAAGAAGTTTCAAGGCAGAAAAATGCATAAACAGAAAAATATTTATCAAAGTACTTGTATGAACCTTGAAAAAGTTGTGTTTATTATAAAGAAATGACGCACGAATATTTAACATGTTCTTTTGAGATTTTGAGATTCCACAATGAAATAATGATAGTAAGAACAATGGTATTAGCTCTGTTTCCGGCAGAATGAAACGAGAACCAATAATATACCGGAAGTTGTCATTGCAAATCCTGCAGCTAGAAACGAGGCCGTGTACGTCTGTGTTACGTCATACAGCAGTCCTAAAAAAAAAATATACAAAAGCAGCATAGTATATCATAACCATCATCAGTTAGAATTCGGCTCACCTAAACTCTTTCCTATCGATCTCGATAGAAATTGTTTTTACACAAAATAAAAATGTAAACTTTTTTTTTAAATTAACAAAGTCAAACAAATAAATAACTAAAACAAAGGAAAAAAAGTGCGTTCAGTTTTGTTTAACACTTGACCTTACTGTAGTGCTAAAGCTTGGTATTTAAATTTAAATACAGAAACAAAAAAATCATTTAAACTGTTAAAGCAATCGTTTATTGGCATAATTATATTTTTATTGCTCCTATCGTGGTTTATTTACTAATGACCCTTATATATTTAATATATGTAAATTCCTTTCTCGAAAAAGCCAATTTTAAAATAAAAATTGCATCCAAAACGTTATGTACAAAAGTTTGGTAACTACACATAATGAACGAGGGCAAGCTACATATGTAGTTGTTTAGGCCGATTTATTTGTCTTTTTAATTTTACTCTTACATCCTCTGGACACTGATTAAATGACCAAAAATATATCACATGAACATATTTTAAGTAAAACTGTCAAATATTTCGTGAAATTTCACAATTCAATTGGTGACCTCACAGAACGGTTGACTCCTAATTGTTTAATTGGTTCTTTAAGGCGTACTTAATTAAAACATACATTCTATAGCGAGATAAAATGGACATACACATGTAGGTATAAACTGTAAACATTCATCTCTTTATCAAGGCTGACTTGGTCTACTAGAATTTGAAACTTACCCGTAATTGGAGGTCCAAGTAAAGAACCAAATGCACTAAAAAGATTGTTTAGACCCATCGCATCTGCCAACAGATTGATACCCGTTATATCAGCCAACACAACTGATGTTAATGATAGAGTTATACCTGGAAAACAAATGAAAAACTAGAAATGTGTCATCATGCCACGGATGCCCCCGCATGCAGCCAAAATTTCAGATGGTGCATTAATTTTTTTTTTTCATTTTAAGTTCAAAGCCCTTAAAACTTTTCAATGTTAACACAAACCATTTCCATACAACGTTCAAGGCACTGAAATTATTCAGTCTTAACCTTTAGAAAGAGCATATTGCATATTTGTAGCCAAAATAATGGCTAAAAGAATGAGTGCTGAAACTGAAAGTTCAAAATTTTTCCAACATTCAGGAAAGATAAGTTTGTCTATATTCATTGAACCACAACCAAATTCAAACTTAAACTGCTTATTCCTTAGAAGTTAGATGTATCTATATTATTTTCAAAGTGAAAGGGACATAACTCTGCCAAAAAACCATCAAACCATGACCAAATTCCAACTTGACCTGCCCATTCCTTTGACATATCCATATGTCAAATTAAAATTGAATATGTAACACTGTTAGGTAGATAATGAACAGAAACTGTAAATTTCATATTATTTTCAAAGTGAAAGGGGCATTACTCTGCCAAAAATCATTGAACCATGACCAAATTTGAACTTGACCTGGGCATTCCAAAAACATATCCATATGTCAAATTTGAGTTGAATGTGTTGTACCATTGGGGAGATAATAAACGGAAACTGAAAATTTCATGTTACTTTCAAAGTGAAAGGGGCACAACTCTGCCAAAAATCATTGAACCATGACCAAATTTGAACTTGACCTGCGCATTCCATTGACGCATCCATATGTCACGTTTGAGTTGAATGTGTTGTACCTTGAGGGAGATAATGAACGGAAACTGAAAATTTCATATTATTTTCAAAGTAAAAGGGGCATAACTCTGCCAAAAATCATCGAACCACGACCAAATTTGAACTTGACCTGCGCATTCCTTTGACGCATCAATATGTCAAGTTTGAGTTGAATGTGTTGTACCTTGAGGGAGATAATGAACGGAAACTGAAAATTTAATATTATTTTCAAAGTGAAAGGGGCATAACTCTGCCAAAAATCATCGAACCATGACCAAATTCGAACTTGACCTGTATTTTCTCATGACATATCCATATGTCAAGTTTGAGTTGATTGTGTTGTACCGTTGGGGAGATAATGAACGGAAACTGAAAATTTCATATTATTTTCAAAGTAAAAGGGGCATAACTCTGCCAAAAATCATTGAACCATAACCAAATTTGAACTTGACCTATATTTTCTCATAACATACCCATATGTCAAGTTTGAGTTGAATGTGTCCAACCGTTCTTGAGATAATGAACGGAAACTGAAATTTCATATTATTTTCAAAGTAAAAGGGGCATAACTCTGCCAAAAATCATCGAACCATGACCAAATTCGAACTTGACCTGTATTTTCTCATGACATATCCATATGTCAAATTTGAGTTGAATGTGCCCAACCGTTCTTAAGATAATGAACGGAAACTGATGATGACGGAATGACAGAATGACGGAAGGACGGAAGGACGGAAGGATGGAAGGACGGAAGGACGGAAGGACGGAAGGACGGAATGACGGAACAGGGTAACACTATATGCCCCGGCCATTACATGGCGGGGGCATAAAAAAATGATATAAACTAATGCAATTGTCAGTATATTTTTGTTCTGATTTCTGCGCAGATTTAAACACATAATTTGGTCATATCTCTCGCCCTATCTATATCTCTCGCTCGATCTATATATAACCGCTGGTGCGCAGGCTGGTCTGTATTCATGCTGGTCGCAAACGCACTATGTGGGTTTTGTCGTGACACGGCTCATTAAATAGTTACAGTTGCAATTAACAAGAACTTCACTGAGGTCCAAACTCCTGAAAAGACAGCAGTTAAAAAAAATCAAGTGAAGCACAAAAAAGTATACCGGTATTAAGAACCTACCAAACATTCACTTATAGTTTCTCACATAGTACAACAAGATTAAATATGAAATTCTTTTTTACCTGAAGAAATGCCATATATAACTGCATACACGAGGAACAACCACAATGTTTCAAAAAGAGGCAAAAGAGCTGTACTGATTCCACTAATCACCAGGGCAATCTTAAACATTGTCATTCTGAAATAAATTTTAAAATCTTAAAGCTGCATGACTTCAGATGAGTTAAAAATATTTCAAGAAAATTAAACTTTTGAAATATGTACTAAGACTTAAAGAAATGAAAGTAAAAAATTCATGATTTTAGTAATAATTTACATGTTATATACGATTAATGGCTTATTTTGTGGAATTTAACCCCATATTTCTACTACGTGACTAACGCAGTAAGGGCTATTTTTGTATATTTTGACCTCTGTTTGGTACTTCACGTGGATTGTACGTGCCGTTTTGCAATATGTTAATTTCTTTCTTTGTTCACTTCACAATATTTTACTTTGAGATAAACTTTCAAAATCATCATCGCTATACATTCTCGGATTCAAAGAATTGCAAATCAAATAGGAAAAGGTTTGTTTTTTCTTTTAAATTATTATTATATTGACAGCTAAGCCTATCGTTATTAAAAAGTCAACAATGGGCGACTCATATTTTAGACTGCCGAATAAATGTATTAATCTTGTATTAATACAATGTATGAACATTATCATAACTAAACAATCCAAAAGTGTTAATTGAGACTTGTTTTGACTTGAAAGATAAAGGTGCAAAATTTCAGATCATTCGCCTCTCCGTTTTTACAGAATAATTACTGTTGTATGTAAAATGACCCACAATCGGGCTATAAATGACACAAATATACAATGTTCTATACCATAATTCTATGTATATTAATTGTCTTTTGCACAATTATCTTTCTATTTAAAGTGTTCCAGCTGATCAATGTATATAATTCAAATTTTATGTTTTAGGCTTTGTCCTCAGTGGAGTTCTTTTACCATAAAAACTGTTTTCATTAATCTATTGTCATTACCTATTTGCAAAAGGTCTGTCGGCTACATAACCCAGCACTACTCTACCAGCAATACTAGAGATTCCAATTGTAGAGGCAATCCAAGCTGCACTGTCACCATTTACTCCTTTTATATAGACGGAATTATGAAAGAATTACATATCATGATACAAAATTTAAGATAAGAAAACATCATGCACGAGCTAAGTACAATCTGATTAAAATCAGCCCCTAATTAACGTTACGCATTAGGAACTGACGACCACCAACAGGTTGTCACCTTCTCGTGATCTTTCAATCAGCTAATCATCGGCGAGACTTCACAATTTCGGACGCGATGCGGTATCAAAATCTAATCGCCAGAAAACCAATACTGAGTAGGTTATTTTTACGATTTCGATAATAAACATGCTGTTGTCCATGTATAACCGGCAGGTAAATTGGCAAAACAATCTTGTCAATCAAAATTTGAGTCTATTATTTCCGGCAGTTTTGTTAAACTTTTTTTTATGACAAAAATCAATTTTTTGTTCTACTTTCACGGACAACGATATTTTGACACCTCGTCTGATGCCTTTAAAGGACGATTTGATTGCACTGCTAAATAAAGCTGTCTCGGGAATTCCGGATCACAAATGGAGGCGAAACAAATACGGTAGCAATAAGATCTACGTGCAAGAAATAAGTAGAACTGAACTTTATCAGATTGGAACTAAGTTCATCATATGCATTGACACTTGCTATATTATAATTTATGAACACTAAGTCTTCTCATGTTTTATTTGTGTATCGGGCTTCTAATTTTGGAATAAAGGATTTCTTTAGTTGTTACAAAGCCTAATAAGAATGAAAAATACAAAAAAACCCTAATAATTAATGCATTTACAAGTGACTTGCCTCTTAATTATTGAAGAATATTGCATTATCCAGTTATTATTCACCAAGTTTTGACAAAGTTTACATATACATGTATAAATGTATGTCGGTAATCAATGACTTACCATCACTTGTTGCTTTATCAGGAATGTAAATAAACGGAATATAAAAACCAGCAAAAAACAGGAACTGTGTGAAGAAAAACACTACAACTTCTGTGCATCGAAAAAGTGTTTTATACCGCTCAACGATGCCATCTTGAGTCGATCCTATGACCTCATTACTGTCTTTTGAAAAATAAATGTCATTTGAGCAGTCGATTTGCTGAATATTCTTTCCGCTTAAAGCATCCTCTCGGACAATTTCGATTACAACCGAGTCAGTCGGTTCATCACGATAGTCACCATGACCTTGACCCGCTAGTTGATTCTTTGATCCCGATTTATTTTTAGCTTTGTCAAAATTAACGTCACGTGTATTTTCGTCTGTTGTATTTTCTCCGGTGCAATGACTATCTTTAACATTTAAAAACGATATCTTCTCTTCATCACAATTTGTCGTATCACCAAGAACTTGTGTACGGTTGGCACAGTTTTGTTTCGGAAGTGCGCGGAATATCAGCGCGCATGGTATACAGTTTAAGATAATTGCCGACAGCAGGAGTAGTGTCCCTTTCCAAGCATACGTATCGATAAGAAGGTCTATAAGTGGGCTGCAATGGAAAAATAAAAACAAAGCATTAATTGAAATAATAGCTCAATATCTATTTAATTATGTTGATCTTTATGCATTGCTACCTCTATTATTCATATACAAAGTTTCGCGAAACTAATTTACTTTGTGGTTAGTTTGATAATTTTAATTAATAGGTCATTTTTCAGAATCATCCCGAATCACGGTACCTTAGCAACAGCAACAACGTTACAATAACGAACAGAAAAAATAATTAGCAAAAAACATCAGAATAATCTGGGAATTAAAATAATGTGGGACTTACAATATTCATCATTTTAAGTCCCAGTAATAATGAACAGAGATATACAAGTTTTTTAAAAACTCAAACCGTGTTAATGAATAGTTGACATCATGTTAAACCAGACAGGGTTCTTACCTTAAAATAAAGGCACCACCACCTGCGCCGGATAACGCGAGACCACAAGCCAGTGATCGGTACTTGTGAAAGTACTTTGTAACTATGATGATTGATGGTAGAAAGACCATTCCAAACCCGGATCCTTAATAAATTGTACAAAATAAAAAAATGTTAGAAGGTCTAAATTCTTTTAGAAAATACGTTAACCCTTTGCATGCTGGGAACACTTTTGTCGCGAGCAGCATAACTGTAAATTGAAACATAATATTTACACTACATCGATGCAGAAAAAATAACTAAACAACAGCCATGTTAACATGGCCATCCCCCGCCGAAAGTGTTTGCTCATTGGAAGAGTGTATATGTAGTAGAGCAGAATAATTCAATTTTAAGAGGTCTTTTGGTAATGAAAACTGATGGCTGAAGTGATTACAGATTTGAAACCTATCATGTGAATACTGATGGCTGAAAATAACAAAGGACAATAACTGAAAAATAATATAGGGTAGGTTATCATTCTTGTGTGCTGCACTCCTCCTCAGTAAAATCAATCCACCTATGAAGTTTCAAGTTGATGCCTCAAATACTTTTTGAGATAAGCTCCCGACGAAATTGTATGAAAAAGAACAAACGACAATAACTCAAAAATTGTTAAGAGAAAGTTATCATTCTTGTGCACAGCATTCCTCCTCAATAAGATCTATCCACCTATGACATTTCATGTTGACATCTCAAACATTTGTTAGTTATGCTCCACTCAGGTGAAAAATTAAGTATGAAAAATAACAAAGGGCAATATCTCAAAACTTATGAAAGGTAAAGTTATCATTCTTGTGCACTGCACACCTCCTGAGTGATATCTATGCACCTATGAAGTTTCATGTTGATATCTCAAAGGCTTTTTGAGTTATGCTCTGGACAAAAATTAATTTTGAAAAATAACAAAGGGCAATAACTCAAAAATTTTGCTGGGTAGAGTTATCATTCTTGTGCACTGCACTCCTCCTCAATGAGATCCATCCACCTATGAAGTTTCAAGTTGATACCTCAAATACTTTTTGAGATATGCTCCGGACAAAAATGTCGGACGGAATGTCGGACGGACGGATGGACGGACGGACGGAGACTTTTTCTATATCCCCCGCCGCCTTTTCGGCGGAGTAACAGATAAAACGTATGATTTTTCGGACACCAATAATAAAACATCGGCTCTCCCCGAATACTTGTGTAATATTACTTAATTGTGGTCAATTTGATCATTTTAATAGATCCTAATCAAAATATTGCAAACACACTCAACAAATGAACGTCATTAAAGGTCTTGTTCGAAACTTACTAGCTAGATTCTTGAAAACTTTTCCTGATTACATACCTAAATAAATTATGATAATTACCAATTGATTAATTTAAACTGAAAACTTGACTTGAAAACGTGCATAAAATATAGATAAATTTAAATAAAATTAAAACTTTTACCTGCAACTATTCCCAGGGTAAAGTAAAGCACGAACAATTGTTGAACGAATATACTTGTAAGGTAACCAATACATCCAAGAATAGCGCCTAAAATTGTAACTGTCCGACATCCGTACCGATTGATTAAGATACTTGCTACTGGACCTAAAAGGAAACTGGTCATTTAAAATACATGATGAATCATTGGATGTGCAACGATGACAATATATAACAAACTCTTTTATATCTGTACGCAATACCGTTTGAAAATAAAATTTTGATAATGATCGTCAAATTTGTACGGGATGATTTTTAATTGATAATTGATAAATAATTTGATGAAAGTAAATAATACACAATGTGTATAATTATCATTATTATTATAAGGTATTATAAAGGTATTTAAAGGTAACTGCATGTAAACTTTGGCTTAGTTCATCGCTATTCATGTAACAAAGTCAAATAAAAACATTTTGCTTTGTTTTCATTCAACTGTCGTCTGCGCACACATTTAGTAACGTCATCACTTGAACTAGAATTGCGAATAGTTCATCTTATTAAACATTAACAAAGCCAACGCGTATATATTAAGCCAATACATATATTTCTGAGGTAACTAGAGTAACTGTAAAATTTAACTGTAACATTTAACTATTAACACACCGATTAAATAAAGGCAACCCGTTGTTAAGGATGGTATCCAGGATAGTTCCGCTTTTGTGCCTTTGAAATTTTCTTGCAACGTCAGGAAAAGAATGCCAAACGAGTAGACAATTCCATGAGTAATAAGATGGGCCAAAAATGCTGCCATAGCAACCACCCAGCTCCACCTTGAGTCAACAGCTGCATCGTTCTCCATTGGATCAGACGACAACCGCTTTTTAACGCACCTGAAAAAAAGTTTAACGTGAAAAACAATTACTTTTTATATTATGTAAACTTACACAAGCAAAAGTGGGTAAAAGATATACCTATCGTGAAAATATTAAAATTATCAAAAATATTTAAATCTGTATTTTTGGTATATTATCATACTTGTAAATTGCTTGCATACAAACTCAAAGCAAAGAATACACCGACCTTCAATAGACCATACCTACATTCTAGTAAATGTCTCAAAACTATGCTACAAGAATATATATAAATATACCTTTACACTTAGTTATGTATTCATGTACACATTAATATAACGCAGTAAATTCTAATGTTAAATTAAATATTCACTAGCGAAAATCAATTAAATTAAATTTTAACATCACACGAGTGTAAACTGGACGCTTCACTGATCTCAAATATCCGAGAAATTTTAACTTAAAAGATTATCTTTCCGATACTGCTGTAGATTATGTTGTAATATTTGCATGTACACTTTTCAGGAAGATCAAATCATTTGTATCATTACTCTAATTTTAGAATGACCAATGGGATTCTCTGATTTCAGTTTATAATTTTAAAATGACCAATTAAAATCCTACCTATACACAGTTTTTCCCTATATAAATGTTACAGGAAGTCAAATCGTTCTCAGAGAACTTCGTCCGAAAAAGAAAAAAAACAACACGTCTTAAACAGATGCAGTCGCTCCTACGTCGTTCATATTTTAGTTATTTAAATCTTTTAATTTTTGTCGTTTTTATACAGCGTTTAACTATAACAACTCCTATTGTCACTTTAAAAAATATCGGTATGCAACTCTTCGGTTTACAAGGCACCTTTTGGGATCATTTTCCCCGCTATCCCCGGGATTGTTTGTTTGTTTGTTTCATTTTTCGCCTTTTCCCCAACAGCATTTCAGTCATATAGGCGGGAAGTTTCCTAACCATCGTTCCTGGAAAGTTACACCAGTACTAGATTACCTTCCTCCACGCTAAACTACCAAAGCATCTCCCGGGGATCGAAACGACGCCAGAGAGGTAACTGGATTAGAAGTCATAGACTCTAACCCCTCGACCACGGAGGCGGTTATCCCCGGGATCAATTAAATCAATCCACGTGACTTTTTCGTATCTTTGTCACATTCAAGTAAGCTTTTTACCAACGACTCTGATGTTGTTAGTTGAATATTCTGGAAATAAAGCACAGTGTGACCGGATACCCCTAAAAGTCACGTGGGTAGGCCATCCTGTGGGGTGGGGCTGGTTATCATTGACTGATAAATAAGCTTCCTAGATGCACAGATGTTTCGTACCAGTTTAACTCAATGTTGCATTTAGATAAAAAAAACAGGCTACATTTTCCATAAACGAAACATAAAGATAATTCATAACCGAACAATAAACATGGTTCGTAAGGGAACTATAAATATGTTTCATAATGGAATCATAAACATGTTTCACAATGGAAACATTGGAATGGAAACATAAAATTGTTTCATAATGAAAACATAAACATGTTTTATTATGAAAAGATAAACACGTTTCATAATTACGGAATTCCGTTAGGGCCATCGTGGTTTCGTGCTGTCGCCCTAAGGGAGACATAGCGAAAACACGATGCATTGACGCAAAAAACACGAAACAAGATCGCGAAAACACGATGCGAAAAACATCGCGTTTTCGCGCTATTAATATCGTGGTTTTGCGTTTTCGCCCTTGATCTCCCATCGTGTTTTCGCCTTCGCGGTCAGTAGGGCGAAAACGCGAAAACACGATATTAATAGCGCGAAAACGCGATATTTTTCGCATCGTGTTTTCGCGTTTCATTATCGTGTTTTCGCTTTATCGCATCGTGTTTTCGCGTCAATATATCGTGTTTTCGCGATTTCGCCCTTAAGACGACAGCGCGAAACCGCACTAGCCCTAACGGAACACCGTACATAATGAACACATAATCTTGTTTCATAATGAAAGAATAAAGATGTTTTATAATTGAAACATACATTGTTTCATAATGGTTAATAAACTTGTTTTATATTTTAAACATTTATAATGAAAACATAAACTTGTTTCATAACTGAAAAATAAACATGTTACACAAACATGTTTCATAATGAAAACATTAACTTGTCAGTCGTAAACAATTTCTAAAGCAATATGTAAACAGGTACACACAACTATTTTACCTTATTTAAGTTTGTTTTGATGTTTCGAAATCCAATATACTGTCTGGTCTTAACGGTACATGGAAAAGTCCAAAAACGGGGTAATCTAGATTATTGTCCGATTACTTACATATACTATATAGCATAATTCTTACAGTATCGTTTGTGTATTACCCTTATAGATCGAAATTATTGTAACTTTTAGTGTTTTGTACTCATAGGTTCGAACCCCACGTAGTGCCATTTTATATTTTCTTCTTGCTCTGTTTTTTATCATTATTATTTATTTATATTTCGTTTTCCTTTTTGTTTTCTTCTTATAATATATTTTATAGTATATATTTATTTTTTTAATTTCTATTCTATTTTCTTTTTGTGTTTTTTTAAACGCAGTGTAATAAATATTCGATCTCATATTCATGTATGTATATAAAAAACGGTCAAACTTGTTTTCTTTTCTGAACAATTGACTGTTCTGAGGTAAAAAAAAAACAGTGTCTTACCAGTCTTCGAACTTCTGCATGTACGGTTAAAACACATTTCTGACACGGTGTAATAAGACATATGGTAACATGTAGTTTTATTTTCATTTTTATAGCTTGTGGCATTGATTTGCCTAACCTATTTTTCGCATTGTTATTGGTCTTTGTTATGTAAACAAAGGCTCAAGTTATCATCCTAGGACAGTATATGGATGTATGTATGAACATGGATTTAGTTGAAACAATATTTTTTTTCTATTTACAGCATAAATATATACAGTAAGCATATACAATCACACTGATATATATAGTGTATTGGAAAACAAGTCAAATGTGACTTATGTAAATTCCTTTCCACACATAATGTACTTGCAATAAAAAACATGCACATACTTGGTTAGAGTAATACAGAAAAGGGAAATCAGATAAATAATTAAAATGAATAAGTTTGTTATAACATTATTATCTAGAGTTGTAGAATAAGAAAAATTATGTTTCAAGATTGTTTCATAATATTGGGAGATTACTCCAAACAATTTCTATTAAAAGGTAAAATATTGTTTTTAACTAGTATTCAATTTAAGTAAGTTTTTTTCAAATGATTTTGTTTAGAATGTTTCGATATAAAAAGAGACTAAAGTATTTAAATGAAATTTTGAATTTAGATAAAGAATAGAGAATATATGTCTGCACACAATATTATCGGGAAGTGATGGACAGAAAAAAGTTGATATTAGTTAGTAAAACGTTTGGAAGCTAGGATAAACTGTTGTACTTTAAGAATGATTTTTTCGTTCGTGTTAAAGGTCAGGCGCTCGTCTCCGTACAAGAGATTGTTAAGTGTCAGGGGACATGGAAGGGGACGTAAATACATGCTTCTGATGATATCATAACGAGGGCATGAAAAGAAAAAGTGATGCACTGCCTCTATTTCGCCACATAGACATAATGGAGACTGGATAATAGACTTTCTATGAAGGTCAAAGTTCAGGGAGCTACAATCTAAACGAAGACGTGCGTGCAATATTTGGCCTATACGACTTCCTACATTAAATAAAGGGGAGGCTTTTGTTTTGTTTTTATTAAGGCACTGTTTAAAGGCAGCAACAGAAGATGAGTTTCTTGTATCTACAGGTAGTAAGTTCCATTCTCTTATTGCAGAAGAAAGAAATGATGAGCTATATATTTGTGTCCTTGAGTTTACTTGTCTGTGATTTCTGAGGTGGTAGGACTCGTTGTGTTGGGGTATGAGATCAGAGATAGTTTGGAGTAATTCCATTGTACATTTTAAAGAATAAAACTAGTTTATGTTGATTACGCCTTCCGGCCAGGGTATCCCATTTAAGGTCGTTAAGAAATTTACTTATATTGCATAATTTTGTTGCACCTGTTACTATTCTTGCTGCCTCGTTTTGAACTGCTTCAATTTCATTTTTAACAAGTTCGAGGAGTTATTCCATGTAACATCGGCATACTCAAGAATAGGGCGGATAAAAGACATATACATTCTTTCCAAGCTTGAACGATTGAGGAGAAATTTCAGTGATCTCATGATGCCTACTCCCTGCCAAGCTTTTCGCAGTATTATAGATATATGGGTATCCCATTTTACATTTTCAGAAAGGGTAACACCAAGATGTGTGTGATTTTGTACACGTTTGATTGGAATTCCATTCATTTGAATTGGGGGATGGTTTACTTGTTTTATTTTTCTTGAAAATATCATGGATTCTGTTCTGGACGGATTAAAAGTAACCAGCCAAGTCTTTGACCTATCATGAATTTTTTGAAGGTCGTCATTTAAATGCTTGGCTGCGTCTATGGGATTCTCTACAATGATATAAAGGCTCGTGTCGTCTGCAAAAAGTCGTATGCTCGAATTTACATCGTCAACGATATCGTTTATATATATCAAGAAAAGCAGAGGTCCGAGGATCGAGCCCTGGGGTACGCCGGCATTAATTGATGACCAGTTAGAGGAACAATTAGCGTATACAACGCGTTGTTTGCGATCAGAGAGATAGGAAGTGAACCAGTTAAGAAGGGAGCCGTTTATTCCAATTGAGGTAAGCTTATGTAAGAGACCTCGATGCCATACTCGGTCGAATGCTTTAGAGATATCGCAAAACACAGCGCGAACCTCCAAGCCTTCGCCAAGTGCTTTGCAAATATCGTTATATATGTATATAATTTGATTAATGGTGGAGTCACCTTTGATGAACCGGATTGATAAGACGTGAGGAGGTTGTTAGTAATAATATACTAGTAGTTGTACAAGACTTTGTGAAAACACCTCTCCATTAGTTTACCTATACAGCTTAAAAGAGAAATGGGTCGGTAGTTCGAAGGCTTAGATGGGTCATTCTTT